AGGCCCCACAAAAAAGACCATTTTAAAATTAAGTGGAAAAGCACTCCAAGTCTTACATAGCAACATATAATCACTTGTATTCTGGCTATCACAGGCCAAGATTTTTTATATTTCTGTTGCTGTCATTATAAATGCAAACTACCATGCTTTTTAAATAAAGACAATGATATCAAATTTCTTCAATAAGTTCTGGCATTTGGCAAGCCAAAACATATAACTTCAGGGATGGCGAAGTGCAAAACTCTGCAGCACCATGTTTTAGGACAACCACTCACAAGGACAAATTCATGGCACAGATGGGAGGACTCATCTATTGCCACAGTCTGCAAAAACGGCACAAAAAAACCTGTAGATGCCATCGATAGGAGCCAAACCATCAACACCATCAACAGTACCATAAGCTGCTGTTACCAGGAAAGCACTTTTAGTTCAGAGAATTAAGCACTTGGATTTCTCCTGGTCGCCTGCAATTTCATTCTGAACAAATTTACCCTATACCAACTCACCCACTTGTCTATTTTGCTTCATTAGAACCTGTCACCTTAACTAGAAATACTGCAGAGGCTGCCAGAGGGAACTGGAAGTAATAACATTGAAAAAGGTAGGTAGAAGTCTTGGGAAAATGAATTCAGAACAATCGGACATTTTAGACATACCATACAAAAAATTGTCATGCTAACCACTTTGCGACAAGAAGAATAACAACCTGCATGAAAAAGTTCGTATTAAATGCAATATCAATGTACAGTGAGATGCGAATGCGTGAACAGTGTGGCATCCCCAATCTTTACTGGTTCGCATTTTTACTTTCAAGCAGTTGTAGCCTGAATGGTAATAAAAAGCCAAGAGAGTTGTTAATGATACAATAAAAAGCCATTGTATCATGTTCTACCAATGACAGCTCATCTTACCACAAGCATGTTTTTGTTGCATCGTCTGCACTCTGAGAAGCTGTTTGAGTACTTGACGTACTTGGATCTATTGCGGTGCGTCATGGACCTGTCTCAGGCAGTCTTTGCTTTTAAGGGGTGATAATAACATACTTTTTGTTTTACTTGACAAGTTTGGTCTACTTTCATGACAAAAAATCAAGACAATAATTAGACTCCAAGTAGGTTATAATCACTTAAAAAAAACAAGGTGGCTATTAAAAATTTAAAAAAGCTCACGTCTAAGTACCATGGAAGTTGTCACCAGGATGCTTGCCTTCTATTCAATAATAACAATAATAATATTAATAAATATGTGAGGTTATGTCCCTAGCTGGTGTTCTTCAACGTGCGCTGACATCCCACACCACATGAGCCTTTAGCGTTTCTCCTCGCGACCGCTGTGGCCGGGATCAAACCTTCGAGTCAGCAGCCAAGTACCTCAACCGCTTGCTACACCACCGCAGTGGACGCCATTCCATTTCACATGAGGAGTTCACCAAAGCCACATGCCTGAAATAATAATTCCCAAGCTCTCGTAATGGAAGAAATCGTATTAAAAAGCACATCTTTGCCACTTGGCTTAGCTATTTGATTGATTGATATATGGGGTTTATTGTCCCAGAACCACGATATGATCATGAGACGCCGTAGTGGAAGGCTCCGGAAATTTCGACCACCTGGGGTAACGTGCACCCAAATCTGAGCACACGGTCCTACAACGTTTCCGCCTCATGGGAAATACAGCCGCCGCAGCCGGTATTCGGATTAGCTATTTCATTTCACCATTTCAAACAAGTTTTAGAGACAAAATTTTGGGCACTTCTTCAGCCTAAACAATTACGTTTTTGGTACTTCTGATGGCCAGATACGGATGAAATTTTCCCTCCATATTCCTTGACATGTGAAGAATACAATTATCTTTTTCATGACCTGATTTACTATTATTAGTATCATGAACTAAAAGCGAGCAATTAGTATGGATTGAGCATTTTGACACTTCTCACAGTACAATTTTTTTCATAAAAATGTCATACATTCTTGTTACAGTGAAATACCATTATAACGAACCTCAGATCAATGTTTTCAGATTAAGGAGTATTTTGAAAATCCCCCTCTCAATGTCCATTGATTCAATGTAAAAGTATTTCATTACTACAAATGTCACAGCAATGAATGTTTCAGAATAACGAATAAAATTTGATCGCGTGGCAATCTTAATAGCACTTCAAAATAACAAATTACTTGCAGCGATCTACTGTATTTACTCGCATAATCTTAGCCCTTCCTTCGCGCAAATCTGATGAAAAGTTGGAGGGGTGTGATAATTACGCGAGGAAAATTTTCCACAAAAACGTACAGAGTGAAAAAGAAACTGAAGTTGTCGCAAATCTGGATTCTCACACCAGGAACTATAACTAAGTACTGATCAAGACTTACTTTAACAATAAAACCACAGGTTCAACACAAAGCGATTTATTTGCAGACACTAAAGCCACTGTCCACTGTTTCAAAGGCCTTCGTATGGAGACCCTTGACAAAACAAAGAAGTTCTGCATCAAGCTGGAGGTATTTTGCACTCTTAGGCCCACCAAACATCTGATGCATGTTGGCAGCCTCTAACTTCTCGTGCTGCCCTCATCAGTAGCGAACACAGAACTCGCCGACTCCAAAGTGCCTGCCGGCAACCCTATCGTCGTCATTTTAAGCACGGTCAATCACTTTCAACTTAAAAGCAGCCATGTACCCTTCGTATCAACACATCTTGTTACCACACGCTGTACAGACTTTATTAACACACCGCAACGGGCGCTTGCCATTATGGCTTGGATTGGATTAGGGCACCGTGCGTTGGTAGTATTGATAGTTTTTAAAAGATGGCGCTAGGCTGTGCGTTATCATCAGTGGTTGAAAGAAGTAGACATTACTGCTGCAATCGTCGCGAATGCGCTAATGAGTACTTGCAGAAAAATAAAATCATATTTTTGTTGGCCAATTTGTGGAGGAATAGTGCAAGAATTATGCGAGTGCGAGGATTACGGGAGTAAATACAGCGAATGCCCAGCTCCATACTATGTGGCACTATTATTATCATCAAAGCTTTCCGATCATTTCTCCATAATTTGCGCTATGCTATCGCAGCACCTCCTGTCGTTTTTCCACTCCGTTCAGCGATTTAGCCACATTGAACCTTGCCCACTGGTCTAGCTTGGCAACCTTTGTTCAGGCGACTGTGAACGTTGTTCAATTGTCATTTAACAATTAGTGTTAGCAACACCTAGTTAGACATTCGTTTCTACATTTGCCGTTCGCCATGAGCACAGGGAACAGCATAAGAAAGAAGCGGACGCAGTTCTCTTTGCAAAAAAAAGTGGACATCAATTCACAAATAGACGCTGGTAAAAAGCAAATCCACATTGCGAACGAGAGGGGGGTTGGACCATCAACTATCACGCCCATCCTGAAGGATTGACAAAAGATCATCATGCACCGAGGGTCCCAACTCGCACAATCAAGAAAACGGCTCCGACTAGGGAACTTTCAGGACGTGGATTCTGCAGTGCTCACGTGGTTCCAACACTCATGTTCTCAAAATGTCCGCTGTCGGGACCCATGCTGCAGGAAAAAAGCCTGGCAACTGGCTTTTGCTCTAGACATCACGGGCTTCGAAGCAAGCACGGGGTGGCTCGATCGTTTTCATTTCGCACTTTCATTTCCTGTGCATCTGTCATCATGGTAGAGCTAGAACTAGTGGGACATACAGTATCCCCAGAATGGAGGCAGAGGCATCTAGCAAACTTCACCGCTTAGGGAAGGTCTCATCAGCTGTGGCACATTTATTTACCTCCTCAGATCCTCGCACCCCACTTTCTAATCATGCCGCTATAACACAAACAACACGTTGAAGAAGCCTAGCTCAACTGTTCGCTTTGCACCAATTGACATAATTACCGACATTGAGTTATGCTGTAGAAGTGCTCGTAGTCATGACGAGCTCTGAACTCCAAATTCTTGAGGCAGCGTGTTCACATCATACAAGTACGCAGTTACCTCTCCATTACAAATACTAGAATGCGAAGTTGTTTACTGGCCCTTTTACATGGGAGTTCTCACACACTGAGACAGATTTCTTTCTAGCAACAATGGTGTGCATTTTTGCATATAGAGTCAGCTTTAAAGAGCAAAATGAGCCAGCAGCCGGTGCTTGCAAAATGTCATGGAAGTACCGTAATTAAATTAATGTACTCTTGACACCTGAATTTTCTAGCAAAAAATTTGATTGTATTCCTTTTTTTTTTATCGCGCAACAATCACACCCTGACCTCACCATGGCGCCATAGCAACGTGGCACCGGCCCTGAAAATGCTCAAACTGTTTTCAAGTGGCCACCACACGAAACAGTGAGGTAGCATCTTGCCTTGCAACGAAAGCAGTTTACAATGCATGCAACACAAAAAGTTCTTCAGCACAATATTCATTGGTTATGGTAACAGTAGCCATAATCAGAATATCAGCTAGCAACTTTTTTTTCTCACAAAAATTTTACCATGAAAGTAATCTTGGCCCCTAGCAAAAACTTGCTATCATTATGCAAGTACAATAAGATATTGGTACAGACAAAGGCTCTTTAAGCTCTCCAAGTTGTTTAAGTATGTACTAATACATACCTGCTAAGTATAAGGATTCTAAATCCGGGAGATTTCCGCACGTTCCACGGTTTCGATACTAAAGTTCATATCATCCGCCGTGATTAGGATAAGTGTTTGGAACATGCATTCGAATTTTAGCCCAATCGACAGTGGAGTTTGGCTGGGAAAGTTCACAAATTTGTATCTGCCGCAGTTCGCAAAAAGCCTGAAGCGGATTGACCTGCATTTTTGTCAATGGGGCTAGATCATGCAGAGAAACATCGATTTCCGGAAGAATTTCATGACAACCATAGAAAAGAAAGAAACGGTCGGAATCCGGGTGTCTCCCGGACAGGTATGCTAATACATAACAAATTTGAGTATATTTGAGAGCTTTTTCTGAACCGTAATATTTCACATGTTACAGGCAGAGTGAACTTACAATCGAGCAGTCGCAGTTCACAGTGGTCTGTAATGCATCATCCTCGTCTGTCTGGCTGATGTCAAACAGGTTCACCAGGCCATCCATGCTGGACGAGGCCATGCAGTTGGGCTTCGACGGATGGAACTTGATCTGACGCCCACAGGAAAGATGAGCTGTTGTTTGCTAACCTGCACACGGCTTTTTTTCTGAATGGGCCCTACTGCTGCTATGCTGCAGGTGCCCATGAATGCCTAGATATCCATACTTTTCACCCAAGAGGGCCTGGGTCCTAACATGCCAACAAATGCATGCCAAGAAAGCACTGCATTTCATCTGGCTAGCCTACACACCATTTTGTGGCTCAAAACTACGAGCACATTGCATTGAACATATGACAAATTCCTTGTGTAGCAGCCGTTCAGTAAACTGATTGGTACTAGGATGTTTACCAGACTAATGTCGCATTACCAACGTTACAAGAGTTGTTACACAGCATGAAGACCTTATGCTAGCAGCTGAACTTTACACAAACAATGTACCACGACATTGCCAGATGGTACTTACATTATTTTGTCCCATGCAACAACTAATAACGCTTTTGCCGGGTAAGCTAGAGATGGTACTAGACTAGACTAGCCTCTGTATAGTGAAGTGAAATACTCTAGTAGAGCATTTTACTTTTAATCCTAACATTGAATTCCTTAAGAAATGAGCCATATACGAGATATGAAAAGGCCTTTCAAGTGAGCAGCAACAATAACTGAGATAATGTTAAAACCCCCCACCCACTTTTTTTTCTGTCCAGACCTTTGTGGTGCTTAATTTTGTGACTGCAGGCCCACTAGCTGACTGTAAACTGGTTTTCACTATCTGGTGTTCTTAACCAAGTGCCTAGAAGCTACAAGTACAGAGGCATTTTTGCATTTCAGCTTCATCATGATACAGCTGCTGTGGCTGGACTTTGAACATCAAGCACTGCACCAGAATAAGCAGATAATTAGATTTTAAGCCAGATTTCAAGCTCAAACTGGGGTTTCGAAACCTCAAGTATTAGTCTAATTTTCAGAAGTTAATCACCTGTGAAATTTTCCTACCATTCTCAGCCAAACAAATGTACTCCTCCTAGTATGCATAAATCTGTTGTCCTCCCAGCTTTCCAATCACAAAGCTTACTTTACAGTCGACAATACTAAAATAAATAAATTTGGTCTACAAAATTAATTGTATAGCCTCCTACCTGTGTGATGTCATCACTATGGGAGTCCCAATAGCCACCAAGGATTTTGTTGCTCCTGAAATCCCTGAAAAAGATGCCAGAATACGTCAATGGCTGGGCAACAAACCACCATAGACAAGTGAAACAAAAAGAGTCATGGAGAAAGAAAGTTACGCTTGTTAGATTATCAATTTATGAAGTAAAACAATTTCTTTTAACATGTTTGTCAATACCAGGCTAGTAACATAAAGCATAACATAAAATACAAATATGCATGTTTTTATGTGCCCTACTTTGCAAGGTCAAAATGTTACTATTAGGTAGACCAGCCTCACTCAGTCTTTCTGATACAAAAGCACTGCCACAGAACACAGCTGAGATTGACAATGAGCAATTCTTTTATCCGAAACAAAAGTCTAAACAATAAACAAGGTCACAAGTGTGTTCGAAGGGGCAAGTCTGAAGGCTAGGCAAGTTAAGGGAAGATGCGGATCGAAAAACGCGAGTTTTTTTTTCAAAATTACCGATTTTTCATTTTCGCCTGTTTTGATAAGTATCTCTACTGTTATGAAAAAAATAATACAGGTCGATTCATAACTGAAAATGCTGTAAAATTTCATCTAAAGAGCACAAGGTGCCTGTTAAAAGGTCGAAAGTGTGCAGTCTTCGAGCCCCTTGCCACCGATAATGCGCCGCCGCTAGCCATTGTTAATGCATGAGTCGAGCCTCACTCTTCAAATAACAACAGTTTCTCTCGCTGATGCAGCACAAGAAATAATAAAAAGAATCACTCTTCTGCGCCTTTTTCGAGCGCCGTGACTGGCTTATCACATGGTACGAATCGGGGACCGCCATTGGCCACTGCACGCCTGTATGTGCTGTCAAACATATTTGCGGGATCCATGTTGTGTCGAGCAGCACAGCTGAACAATGCTTTTCTGGTGAAATTATCTGCGTTATGAATGAAAAAAGGCATTTCTCGCAAGTGAAAGCCGTTGTGCGGCGCGTTCAGTAGGAATAGGCTACGAGCAGCTGGTCCGATTTGCGGAAGTTGTTGGCTTGCAAAAGCCAATGCATCAAAGTCATTCACACCCGTCAGCTGGAAAGTTCGTGATGCGGCAATGGATGACGTCAGCGCCAATCTTAAGAGGTCCAAAGAGCTCGTAGTGAGAGAACTTAGCAGGGACGACATTGCCATTATGTACGACAGTATGTGGCACAAACATGGCTGCCAAATGGCATGACACTGGACTTAGTTTGGATTTCGCAGTCCTGTCGAACTTCTTTCTAGCTTGCAATTGGCACAAGGCTCTGCCAGATGGAGCGGAAGTTTAGCAAGCGTCTCATGGCCTGTGAAGAGTCGGCTCGGCTTGAAAACGCCGAGACGGACAAACTCATGGTGCTGGCGTATTTTAGTCGCAGTGGCCACCACAAGATGGATTGTTCTTTTTTGGTGTGCAAATTTCATCTGATTTAGTAATATCTTCCATAAATAAAAACTCAATTTTAACTTTAAAACTCGTTTTTCTCAAAACAAGTTTTGCCATTTTTTCCAATGTGCCCCTCCTTTTTTGGGCACTTCTAGTGCTTGGATCTGCATGAAATGTTGTCCAAATTTTTTTCAAAGTATGACAAATGCAATTATCTAGTTTAAATTTCAACATTTTATTGTATAAAAAATTGTATGTATACCTTTACTAGGGTAAGTGAAATATAGACTTTTTATGTCTATTATTTTTCACGCGCATTACATATTTTGTATGTGCTTCCTAATTAGTTATTTGCACTCTACACTTTATTTGAAGCATTATGAACTATGAATGGTAAAAAATTACAGAATTTTAGGGACGAAAAAAAAGGGGGGGGGGGCAAAAGGGTTAAGGTTTTCACTTTGTCATGTTGCAGAGCTAAAAGTGTTAACTTGCAAGACAACTAATTATATATTTGAAATCAGCATATAAAGTTCTATAAACAGCTGAAGTTTCATTGCTCTAGAGTGAATATTAAAGAAAAAGTGTCTTCGAGTAGCATCTCCCCTTAATCTACTACCTATCATATCCACAGTAGCTTGTGCCAGACTTCCCTGCAGTAAATACAGTAGGAAACTCAATTGCAGCAGTTACAGTCAAGCCCACCCCAGATATAACGACTTATCGGTTATAACGACCATATTTCGGTGCACTTGTGATTTTCCTATGCAACCCTTTGAAACTAAGTCCACATACAGCGAACATTTTTCAAGGCCTACTTTTACAACGAACACTTCCGACACATTCGCGGTAAAAATATTGCTCATATGAAGCGGGGGAAAAGAAAACGAACACATCAAAGTATGTGACGGGCGCGCACTCGGGCGGTCCCTCGCAGCAGTTTACTTGTGACGAAGATATTGTAGACCACGTCGAGCACCACACGCAGATTTCAGACACTGCGAGTAAGGCCGCTCACTTTCCAGGTGTTTTTTAACCAAAAAAACGGAAGTGAGAAAAAACAAACAAATAGCAGGCAGCCCGAAGACTGCAGTCAGCTTTCACCCAGCGAACTTTTTTGACACCATCCTTGGCATCTACGACTGCCGACGATTAACGAACAACACCTTCGAGTGCAAGAAGCCATAAATTCACGAAGCGATAACATTTTATTGCAAAGAAGTTGACTGCGGCGCTAAGTGCCGCAAAAGGTTTTTCACCTTTTGGCAACGGTGGAGATCGGTCAATTAGTGATACTGACTGCCCATTGTAAAAAGTAAAACTTTAATGGGTAGTGAAATCAGTAAAAAGTACTACAATTAAACCTCTATATAATAAACTTGCATATAACGAATTCTTTGAAATAACAAATATTTTCTATTCACTGCCGTTACTCCATAGAAGCTTATGTATTTGCGACCTCTATGCAACAAAGTAACAACGGAGCGGGAGACAACCTTGATATAACGAATTTTCGCCACGGACAATGTAGAAATTCAGCCCCGGATTTAGACATTTTGGCACGAGCATGCATCTTCTGCAGTTGGCCCGCCACCAACAAAGCGCGAAGCAACGTGGCGCACTCATGGACCCGGTGACTCCCAGGTGAGAGCGAGCACTTGTTATTCCGCGAGGCGGGCTTGCGCTCCATGAGCCGACGATACCACCGTTCTTAACCCCCAGCAGCATTTGGGGATGTGCCCTCCCGCTCCAAATGAAAGAAAAGATATTGTTTTCCGCTGGCGATGTCGTAGCTTTTAGTTAGCGTCACATATGTGGGGGCGCACTGGATATAAAGGGTCCACAACGGATCTTCGGAAGTCGACTCGTCGCACGTTTGCATTAGCGTCCCAAGTTCGCGGAACCATAGCCTCCGAAATGAGCCGATTTGCTCTGGCAACAACACGACGGCGCGCTATAGCAACAAATTGTAATGTTATACAAAGTAAGGCTGGTAGCCAACTCTTCTGAATCTGATATTGCAGAACTGCTACAAAACGCTGGTGTAAGCAGATATGGCCGCCCCAGGGAGATGTGCTCTTTTCACAGTCTATTCACATTGAAAGCCGACTGATGCTTGTTGAGATAGCATGCACGCCAGCAACGCCACTCTCAAAATCAAAATTCACCGTTGCTACTAGTGACCCCCCCCCCCCCCCTGCTCGTTCAAGACTGGTGGTTTCCTTTTTGTTTGAGCATTAGACAGCAGTTTTAACACGCGGGGGGGGGGGGGGGATGCTATTTTATGCGCCCTTTAGGCGATAAAGATGGGCCAGCTCATTTGATCTCCACTTCAGCAGCACTCGCGCGCCTTTACTCGCTTCTAAAAGTTACGATGCACGAGGCATGTTATCAATTTGTACTTGTTACAGAACATGACGGCGTCGGCAAAAACCACCCGAGTGTGTCGCATGCAATTGCTATCGCAATAATAACGCAGTTTTTTACCACTAAATAAGATTTTTGGGTTAGCTCTGCCTTCAGTTCCCCTTTTGTTTTATTTGTGCATTTATTTTTCGAATTTTTTTTACTAAGCCTGCATATAACGAAATCCTCTTCATAACGAATTTTTCCAGGAATTTGCAAATGTCGTCATATCCAAGTTTAACTGTACTGCTTCATGGCAAACAAATCTCACAAGACATAAGCTACTCACTCAATTCAGAAAATTTTTCAAGGCAAGCAGATTTTTGATGATAGTGAAACCACAAAACTGGAGCCTGATGGCCTTGCCTAGACCCTACAGAGCCCCAAAGTTCTGTCAGTAATAGAACTGTTTAGTTTAGGGTGCTTCAGTACCAGCTGCCTCACCATTCACAGGCAAAAGCCTTACTGGCACTTTGCCAAAGAGCACACTGTGATGCCTTATGAAAATGCCACTTAGTAGCATACCGCTTGCATCTCGCTTGAGGCAGAGCATAAAGCAAGTGCTGTTATTAAGAAGCAATCTTACTGAAATGCTCTGGGCTTGGATGCTGTTCTTATAAAAGAAGAGGACTTATTTGACCTGATAAAGTGCCAGATTATCTTTCACAAACTAAAGCGTACCATATGAGCGGGGCAACAACGAAATGGCTGAGAGCCACCAAGCTAGCAGCCCTGAGCTGTGACAGATAAAAGGATAAGAAAAATCCAACTCTGCAGTCTCTCGCTTGGCAACATTGGTTCCCCACTTTTCGTGCTGCTGCTTGCAGTGCAAGTTTTGCAGGGTGCATATGTGTCCACAAAATTCTATTTCCTCTTTCTTTTTTTAATATTTTGCTGCAGAGCATTGGGTAATGACTCTTTGTTATTGAGATCATGAGACATGTGGAGTCTAGCACAAAATCTTTTCAAAATAAGGGGTGAAAAATGCGACCAAAAACTGACATTTTGCAACATCAGAGTAGAAGGTTCACTGTACAGTTTGCATTGATGCATTCATTTTTAAAATGCCACCTCAATGCCATAAAGGAAATTCATCCCATCCAGTGATTTCATAACAGCAAATATATACTTTTACTAGCAAGCAGCATTCCACAAATTATGCAAAGGGCTCTTGCAAACAATTATACAAAAACTGCATAATAACAATTCAGCATGAAGACCTGCAATAAATTTGCAATCTGTAACTTTTTTAAATCAGTACTAGGGAAGCATTTTAAAACTTTACACTGTGCATCACTGACACACACATAGGGCTACAGAGCCTCTGACAGACTGCGTCTTAGATAAAGAGCTTTGGATGGTTTATTTTCCGTTATGGCAGTGAATAGTCCTTGCTTTCACCTCACAACCCTGAGTTCATCAGAAATAAGCCTGTGTATCATAGAGAAAACCCATGCTGTCATTCCAAGACTGGCATGACTGAAGCTTACAGTGCAATGATTTCGCAATTTGAGACAGGGTAATGTGTTATCTTGGTGGGGAAATAACTGATTTGATCTTTAATCTAAATTAGAAGAAAATTAAATACTCCTTTGTGGCTTAAGCTATTGACATATTTGAAACCTGGTGACCTAAAATTCGGTCGTAAAGCGGGAAAGGAGTAGAGGGAAACATGATAGGAAAAAGCTGGTGCACACAATCATTTACTGCTATTGAGGGGTAAAGCGACATCATAAACAATTGATTTCCAGTAAAGCTTGTAGATGTCAGCAATCATACTTGTATTCATAGTTCTACATTGCATGCATGCATCCACAATTAAGGGACCAAATCTGCTGCATCTCATAACAGCTTGTAGCCCCTTCTTAACTCCAGTATGCTTTTCTCAATGCACTGTTGCTAAAGTGACTTAATCATTCTGCAAATAATCAGAAAATTATAAAACATGTATTTAATTTTCTTTTCAAGGTAGTAAAGGTGGTACTAGCACCCTTTAAAATAAAGTTTATAACCATGCCTATATAACTGGGAGGATTGGAAAATGAGGATTCAAGAAATTGATTAGCAGTGCCCAAGACAAGTCTATTAACAGAAGCACTCGGTGCAATGAAACAGAAAATAATTAGGCTGAGCAAGTGCTCAGCCAATCTTACAATAGTACACATTATTTGGTAAGTGAACAATGGTAATGAGGCAAGATTATTATAGCAAATGGAATACAATAATCTAGTGTCATGTTAACGATTCATGCCATTCTGTTGTATTGCCAGCATCTACTTGTTCAGTCATCGACAGCAACTGTCATGTCGAGCACCCAATTTTTGAGAGGAAGATTATGAAAATGGATACACGAGAGCAGCTCCGACTTGCAAGATGGCAAAACAGATAATGAAGCAATGCAAAGCTGTAAAAAATGGCACCGTGAAGGACTCACCAGAAAAGTAGGTATGCGTTGTCATCGTAGAGGTCTGTGCCAGCACACAAAAACTGCTCGTTGCAGTTGAAGTCAAAGCATGACAACGGCTTCACCTTTCCATCTGTGTTGGCTGCACATGTTCCCATCAACAAACCAGCATTCTAGAGGTGCATTTTTTTTCAAGAGAACGAAGAGCATGAGGCAGCCAAAGCATGCTAGAAGTATATTTAATTAAACTCATCTAAAGAGCACCATAATGAAGTGTAGCTAGGTAACAGGTTAAATTCTTATGCAACCTCTTTAACCCCCCACAGTATCTCCTAATCCAGAATTCTGCCAGGTAGATATCATTCATTGCCACCTGTTAATAAGCATTGTCAATTCCAACATTATTAGCGCAGTGTAGGTAGGCTATGTGAATCCTCAACTGCCATTAACTAGGGTATTTTCAACACCCAACAGACTTCAAACTTGTACATGCTTTCCATTAACAGTATATTCAGGAAGCAATCTTTTGATGTGAGAAAAATGCCTCTAGCTAGCCTTAAAAAAAAAAAAATGCCCGATTGGCCTCACAGGAGAAGAAACCAAATTCTTCTTGTTAGTATTCTCCAACCTTTCTCGTCAAATGTCTGATTCCCTGCATGAAAACTGCAGAACCATTAGCTTAAATGTGCCCTTTCCCATAAAGCACACATTGTATTGAAAGACTGATGAAAATTCGAATGTGAGATGACTTTTGAAATCAATTTGCATGGACACACATAATCTACTAAATGCCAAAAACAAGCTAAACACTGACACCAACTTGAGTGGCTTTTGCCTTGGAGCACCTTTGGAGCATAAGTAGCAGGGGTTCGGAGCACAAACTGGTGCTTGTTTATTTTATGTTAAATGTACCAGTTAAAAACATCAACTCATCATTTTTCTTTATAGTCTCTTAAATAGGCCCTGAACCATTCATCAATCACAATAGAAAAAGCAGCTCATGTCATGTGAAGCATAGATAACAAGATGGTCAGTTAGGGCCATGAAAGGGATAGCAAGGGATCGAAAATGTAACCCAAGATGGCAGATGGTTAGGTGGTGCGCCGAAATAGGAAATTTGCAGGCATTAAATGGTATCAGCTAACACAGAACAGGAAAAATGGGAGAATATTGAGAGTGGCTTTCATCCTTCAGCGAGACACAAGAAAGCCCTACAATATTGATGAACTTATCAAATCAGGTTGAAGTAACTGCTAATTTCAATCAGAATGACACACTTCCTACAGAAACCAGCTCTTATCTACTTGCCCTCGAAAATGCCCGCACAAACAGAAATGAAACGCAATGCTGTTAAAGGGACACTAAAGAGCAACAATGACTTCGTTAGATTAATAAACTATACTCTCAAGAACTCTAATGCCACATGTTTCATCATCATAAGTTCATGTATTAATTATTAGCATAGAATATCAAGGTTGAAAATCTTGAAGTGTGACTTCACCAACTTCAAAATGTATTGTTTGTATTTGAGGCTAGGTGTTTTCTGAAACTTCATATGCTAGGTCTCTGGGACACACAGATGGCAATGAACTTCTTTTTTATCTATTACAAGCTATATAGAACCCAGTAGATTCCTTTAAAGTCTTCAAATCTTCTACGTCAAGGTGTTTGGTAAGAGATTCTCAAGATGGCACCTTCGCCCCGCTCATGGGTATTGTTAGTCTCTCCTCTTGCTCTGTTAGCTGCTCTCAAGGTGGTTTTGGCTGCTTATGCCAAGAATGTTATTTTTTATGAGGGGGACACGATCAAAGCACACCCAGCACCCGCAGTTCTCCCTATTTGAAAAACACATTAAGCGTCATCAAAGCATAAGTGCACGTATAGGTATACGGTGTTGCCCCGCTGTGTGACACCGGTTTCTTATAGTATTTAGGTTGGCATTCTGAACGCAGGCAATATTGTTCTGAATTTAGAAAGCTAGCATTAATTATACAAAGCAATATAGCAATCACGATTCAATTTCAGCATTTCCAGATGCAAAGCTGCAAATTACAGCAAAAAAGTTGCAAACAAAATTTTCGCTGTCAGGGGTCTTAACGGTGTATGACAAGATCGCTTTTGATCATGAACCAGTGATGTCTGCCAAGATAAGCTTACCGCTAGTGAGCTTTAATGTCACCAGGCTGTTCCTTGTCGCTCAGTAACCCATAGTTTTAAGGTTTATGTTTATATATATATATATATATATATATATATATATATATATATATATACATACACACACACAACAGGGTTGTTTAATGTTTGCTTTCTACTTTCTCATGAAGACGCAATGTCTTCAGAGCATGCCTATGCTGAGGCACTGAGCATGCGCAAAGCTTATGCACTGCTTGCTAGCTTGTCCCATGCGTTTTCAGCCATTGTACGCTGCATGCCAGAGCCTTCAGTGCCACATGTTAGATCAGATGCTAAATGATACCATGTGTCCAGTGCTTAAATATAGCTCTACGTCGCTTATGGTTCCGGAGGCAGCTTCTAGTGGGCTACAGTTGTCCCTAAGCTCTTACTGTTCAGCTCTGTTAAACAGCATAGCAAGCACGCAGGTCACGCAGACAAGCTTTGAAACTTCCTTTTTAATAACTAAGGCTGTTTGAAAACTACAAATGCATTTACTCCCCCGACAAACAAACATACAGAAAAAAAACTTTTGTCAGGGTTTTCTTTAGCATACCTGTATGAAAGCATGCATTCTCCTTTGAATGATCTTTGCTTCAAAGAACTTTGAAAAGTGATCCTGTGACAGAGGTTTTACTTCTTAATGATTGGCATCACTAGCAGAGTCCTGATAAATGCCACAAAAAGACCATGCAGCAATGAAATACAATGAACTTGTCAACAGCTCGTCATGTGTAGGCACTAGAGCAAAGGTCTCACAACTAAGCTGTACAATGAAATTTTCGTTTCTACAAAATTCAGTGATCAAATGAAATTCCTAGGCCATTGCTGCTATTTATCTCAAGAATATCCCACAACCCATCTTCTTCCGATAATTGCAGCATCTGATCACTCCTGCTTGTAATGCTCTCAATCAATGTTTCTAACAAACATTTTCCTTTCCCCAAGTATTGACAGCCATCAAGTTTGCAGTCTTCAAGAGAAATACAACAAAGTAATAATAGATCAACAAAACTGACTCAAGTGAAAGTTTAATTTTTACACCAATGGCTTCAAGCTCGTATTCTGCATTATGCCACGCTAATGAATGCAATACGAAAGAGGTAAAAAAAGATGAATCAACTTAGATTACTCCCCCAGAAACTCTACATTGTTTTACGCCTTAACTTAGTTTCATGAGAAATTGACGGAAGCTGCAAAGTTTCACAAGGCTTGTAGCAAACTAATTTATGTAAAGACCTTGAGGGGTCCCTGAAACATTTTTTCAAGTAACTATGGTATGGGTTCACTGTAAGAGCTTATTGTCTCATGAATTCATTTGTAGACTATATCCTGTACAAGTGGAGCTACAAAGTTTTCTTGCACGCTGCAATCCCATTCTCTCTTCTTTTATCCTGATGAAAGCGCTGGAAGCTAAGCAGGGGGGTGTGGTAGGGGTAGAGAAAATACCACCCGACACTGAGCTCTTACTTTTTTTTCTTCGAATATGCAGCTTTCTCAGTGTAATCACGTGCACGCGTGGACAAGTCGAGACCTCCCACGGTGATCACTGTAACTGTTCAAATCTGCCAATGGCTGATAAAAGGCTTTCTACGAATGATTTTTGAGTTTCCCCAGTCATTTGTCGAGAGAAGAGAGAAAGCAATTCTTAGCTGACTTCGATAATTGATTTGAGAATTCCAGGCCGTGTGCTGCGCATATTTGGGTCGCGAGTTATCGGGAGCCCCCTACTACCGATCAGCAGCATTTTCTGACAATGCTTAAAAAGTGTCGCAGGGCCCCTTTAACTCTTTCGCTACTGCGCCTATTCAAATGATGCATTTTCAAGTTGAAATACTCACGCGCTCTCAGAGTATGCAGGCACCTAACGCCATTTATGTAAGAAAGCCAGAAACGCACAAGGAGATTCGTGATGCTTTGTTGGTTCATTGCTTTAGGGAAGCTTTTTTCCCTCGCTTCAAGAAGTTTCAGGTAGCTGCGTGTGGGCGCAGCTTATGCCGTCGTTCTTCCATGCGGATGGTCCTAAAAACAACGAGTTTCTCGCGAATGAAGTACATCAGCAGATTTTGAGGATGGAATCGGCAGCAGTGAGTCTGGAGAAGATGTTGACGCATCAAACTTCAGCCCCAATGACGAGGATGCGTCAAGTCAAGCCGCAAAATTCAGAGAGTGACTGCAGGCTGTACGAGTGACAGACATTTTGTTGTCCAATTAGGAGTTACGGGCGGCTGAGTGTGTACCCACAGCAATTTCACTCATTTTGAGGGTCTCAACGTTCTATGGATATGATTCCTGGCCAGTATCTGTCAAGCGTGTACAGTGTCTTTCGAGACAAAACCGGGGAGTCGAAGTCGGAGGTGCACAACAGAGTAACTGACGGCACTTCTTCCGAACCGTGGATTTCGTCCAGCTGTTTTTCACTGCACCGCTGACCAGCATGAACTGTGACTACACTAACAAATATGCGTGGATACATGTTTTAGAGAGGCAGACATGCCCCCCAAGAGCGCAAGAAATGTACCAATAAGCATGAGCGTGCCCCGAAGTATTATTTACAGCATGCTTTTAAAAGCCAGTTTCGGTTCCTACTGTACTCTGACGTCACGACATGGTATGAACAGTGCCACCAGGCAGGAGTATGTGTACGCACAAATTTTCATGACATATCCTCGTCCGCGCGTCGCTTAGATTGTCTGCTTCGTCTGCTGCGCTCTGCACGTGAGGCAACTGTCACGGAAGAACGCACAACGTTGGGATGGTATCCCTTTTAAGGTGCAGGTTCTTCGTCAACCATCCTAAGTCAGTCAGCAACTGCATGTTGTGCATGTACGCATCAGAAATAAACAGAGTAAACTCTGCTTGGTTGGCGTCTAGTCTCCGCTTCGGCAGCGAGTCACGAGGTCGACCCACGTTTGACTGTACCGGATCGCACCAAAATCTGTGAAACTTGCACCTGTTGTCCCCTGTTCCACTGGTGCAAGCTAAATTACAGGGCAAAATATTAGCGTCATGACGACGAAATCGATAAAAACAATTCTATTGCCCTCTGATAAGCATATATACTGCATTCGTGTACACGTACACTATTCTACACTCCGTTAGCTCGCTTCACAGGTACGCAGGATGACAGTGACCGCACGGCGCGAGCAAACGATCGAGAGGACAATGTGCAAGTGCAATATTTTTTTAGTGTTTTGGTGCTTGACATCATCACAACTTGCCAGACTGTTGCGTGAAGTCACCAGGTTTAGCACTGTAACCTGACTCAAGTTTGTGTCTGTCGATAGGTGCACTGCGAGATATTTGACTTTAGTATGAAAATATCAGCATTTGGTGAGCATCACACTTGTTCAGAGCCATCTCTGTGTACAGGAGATTCGCATACCTTCCAAGTTCAAGTATTCCGAATCCGGGAGATTTCTGCAACGTGGATGGGGGGTTGCAATGAATTATTTGCCCCCATTTTTTTTGGCACCAAAAAACTTTAAAAAGCCCAAGGATATACAAACAAAAAACATCGCAAGTGCCAACATCAGCGTTGTGGTTTTATAGTAGCTTAGAGTGGCCAAACACACAACAGTAGGATTTTTCACTAATGTGAGAGTCTCAAGCAATCAAAACAACTCGCGTATGTCTTCCTGGGACATACGTGAACAGACGGGACGGCACAGCTAGCTGCCTTAGAAACGCGGGCCAAAGCTTTGCTCACTGCTAGATTATTTTGACAGGAACACCAAAATGGATGCAACTTTTTTTTGACGTATTTACTGCCCTCAATCGACCAATGCATTAGTCAAGTGCCCTCGGAGCTAGCAGATCGCTATCGCGTCGCCGCGACCGCGCTTTTGTCTGCAGCGGTTGTGGCAAATGGTAGTTCTTATATCACTCCCCGTGCATTTGGCTGTGCATGCACCTTCAAAGCTAAGTCATTTTATGCCATCTACGATCGCGTCTGCCACGGTTTTGTCCCCAGAGTTTGTGGAAAGCAGCATTGTTTTGACTAGTCGAGTGTTGCACCAAGCACATTTTCGAGGTTCTGGCAGTTACGTTATCGCCATACATGGTCGTGTGAAAAACCGCAGTTTCGTCCACAGCAGTTGTGGCAACGACAATCACATGCACTGTAGAAGACGGTGCGTGTGCCGGTTGCACACATACTTCCGAAGCTTCGAGCAAGTTGACGGTCTTCATACTAAAGTTCGTATCACTCGTCACAATTAGGAAATGCGTTCGAAACATTTGAATTTAGGCCCAATGGACATAGAATTTGGCTGGGAAATTTCTCGAATTTGTATTTGCTGCAGTTTCGCATCACTAAGATTCTACTGTACGTTTAGATGAATGCCTCTTAGATTCATTTATAATAAAATGGGGTAGGTTCAAAAAGCCTGGAGCGGATTGAGCTGCGTTTTTGTCAATGCGACCAGATCACGCACAGCAATTTTGATTTCCTGGAGATTTTCACGACAACCGTATAAACGGAAGAAACGGCCGAAATCCAGGAGTCTCCCAGCTAATTCGGAAGACTTGGCAGGTATGGATTTGTACGGCCGAGTAAACTCTCCTCTAAAAAAAAAAAAAAAAAAAAAAAGGTGTCAGTACCCTCTAGTCTCAAAGAATGCTCAACAGGTGATACAGCCAGTCTTGAGTCAGTCAGCACACGTACATTCTCACCAGATCTTGTTGATAATGATTCAGTTCCACCTCTGCATCATTCACTCATAGTTGTTTTGCCTCAGTAAATGCCTGTTCCACAGTAAGTGATACTGAACACCAGACTTATGTTCAGCTTGTGCTGAAGAATATACCAAATAATCGCCCTGTCAGAATAATATACTGTTTTAAAGCCTTGATTGATTGATTGATATGTGGGGTTTAACATCCCAAGACCACTATATGATTATGAGAATCATATAGTGGTTTTGGGACGTTAAACCCCACATATCAATCAATCAATGTTTTAAAGCCTCAACAGCAGGAAACACCACAGGAGGAGGTCAAATCCTGCAGTGTTACCTTATCACAAACATAAACGTTGTACATATTGCAATCAATCTCTCACCAACAAACTTGGAGACTGGGTGTCTGATGTTTCGGAGGTCCCAGACGCGGACGCTGCCATCCCTGCACGAGTTGTACACCAGGTTCGGGTTGGAGATGCTAAAGCGCACCCCTGTCACCTCCTTCATCTTATCTGTGGATCAGTACCCCATGGATGAATGGGTGAGTGCTCCAGGTAGCCACAGATGACATGCCTTGCAACCACTCTAGTCACGTGTACTAGATAAGGCACTGTCACGTGCGCTCGATTGAGCCTCCAGCCATTCTACACAAACCTACCTTCAGTGCAAACTCGCGGTCTGGAGACTCCTACAGCACTCTACTATCATAGCAAAATGGGGCACTTGCTTTTATTTGAAAGCACTCACAAATCCCACAAACAATAGCAAACACAATAACCCTATGGTGTATATATAGATATATTTCTCACACACATATCTTCCACCCAAACCAAAGCAAAGAACCAAACAAACCTGACAGATGATGACCAAGGACTTGAGGCATTGATTCCAGTAATTATGAGCTGCACACCACTTATGCAACATCAAAGTTAGTACTTTAGTGCATTTGCACAAGGCAATGGTTAGAAAACTAACTGCAATCAACACATAAAGGCATCCCAAAATAAAAGAGAAAATAGCACATTCTAAGCTATGTGGAGAAAAGTGCGTCAAAGGACAATAGGCCTTCCAATAAAAAATAAATTTTTCGTCAAAAACAAGCTGCAATTATGTCCAAAAATTTAAGCTGCTAAATGTAATGTTGCATTGACCACAGCCATATTTCCCACTGTTGAGACTGGTGATGTGCATTTATTAGATGGGTGTCACCACTTACTTTCCCATCCCAGTCAAGCCCAATCTGAATAAAAATTTTCTGTCATAATTGTCCCAGAAGAGGAGCTAATCACAGTCGAGAAATGCAGTTTGTTCTGTATCAGGCCTGATTAGGTGCGTGTTTGTAGAGGTGCCATTTGCAGGAAAGAGCCAGTAAATTTTTAATCAAATCAACAATACCAGAATTACCTTAAATGCCTATAGTAGTTTACACGAAGCATTTATTTGCAAAAGCTGCAACATTAGTTTCCCCACATAACTAGTGTTAAGTAGTGCTTTGATGCAGACTATTGTCAGCTTGGGAGCTTATTTTAACCGCCTGCATATATATTCCAACCCTTGTACCACTGTTTGTACTAAATTAAAGCAACAGTGAAAATTCCTGCTTTACATATGTGTCTTCATAAAATTAATCCACATTTATCCCATCAAGTTTCATGAATTCTATACACTTAAAGAACTCCTTAAATTAAAATATTCATTACACTGCTTCACACTCCCACTGACACAAAGATAAAAGTCAGTAAGCTTTGCACCTTTACACTAGCCATCTAGAGTTGCTCTAAGTGGAGGTGGAAGACCCAACTGCTGTCAAAACTATGCAGAAACAGCAGATCCTCATGCATACATTCTTGGACACACAGCATTCTTAGTACACTTTCTAATCACGCAAACAAGCCCAGCTTATCCTCAATGTGCAAATGGTTATGTATCAAGGCTGGTGTCAAAATGCACTAGCAACTAAAGGGCAGCCTGGTAATTTCTTGCTATGTCGCACATATTTTTCATGGCCAACTACTCCTGTGGCATAAGTATGCCGGTAAAAATAACACAAATGGAACCTATATCTTGAGAATGCGAATACTGGGCCAGTTGGTATTAATTTTTTTTTTATTTATATGAGCTGTAACAACTACATGGCCTTGAAGCATGGGACTCAGACTCTTTTATAGCCTGGTGTTATTTGATTTGCACTTAAAATTAAGTATACAACCTGTGAACTTTAACATCCACAAAATTGCCCCTCTCAGTAACAATTGCAGGACACACAAGCATATTTTTCATTTGCTCTCATTTTAAACTGAACCATTAACATAATGTTACAAGACCGGTATATTTGGCTTATAGGCCAGAGAGACAAGTGCAGACACATGCCTTTGCAAGGTGCAAAAACCTTGCACAGTAAAACCATTGAAAATATGCTCGTTTTTTTATTTGACAAGATAGCAAGCCTGTAACGTCACCGCAGCTACCCAGAGTGGCTTACCAAGTCCACATTCTATAAGCACCTTTCATCCCTCATGACAACAGAAACCGGAAGTAAAAAAAAATTAGCCTCGCAACAAATTCTCACAAAAAGAAATGCTCAAAAACATGTTTCCAAATTAATGTCAGCATGCTCTTATCCGGACTGGACCAACCACAGGGTAGCTAACAGAAATTGCTTAGAATGAATGCATGGACACCAGGTCCACAAACCAATCTTTAAGATTCAACTAATAAAGCTATACATCCCTTTAAAGTAATTGATATGTGGGCTTTAACACCCCAAAACCACCATATGATTATGAGACACTGCGGTAGAGGAGTATGAAAATTACGACCACCTGGGATTCTTTAACGTGCACCCAAATCTGAGCACACCGGCCTGCAATATTTTTGCCTCCATCGAAAATGCAGCCACCGCAGCCAGGGTTCCCTTTAAATTAGTCTGGGAAACTGTGATACGGAGCTTCATGCACAAAAAAATGCCAAGCTTGCCTTTCCCAAGAAGCAAGTAATAACAGAAAAGATAGAAACAACACACAAACATGCACCCTTACCTTTAAAAAAAAAAAAAAAAGCAAGTCAGCAGACCAAATTTCAGCAAAATTCACCAGTGTGCTCAGAATTTTTTCCAAAACTACTTCAGTACAAACCCACAAAGTTTCAAACCACTTTGAAGTCACTGCCTCGGTCCAACGCACCTTCGCTTGTATCGCATTCTGCATGACCAACTTAAATTAGAACTCTATAAATAAAAACCACTAAGCCACCGTGGATGCATGCACAAAAAACAAACTTAATAATCAAAGCTAATTGCCAATCATAACTTGATGTGCTTAGCACCAGCCACAAGAAAAATATATTAAAAGCCATTAGCACGGTGGACACGACCACATCTAGAAAGCTTTAAAATATTACAACTTTATGAGGAAATGAATTTCGCGAATAATCATTCAAAACAGAAGATAGTTCAACACAAAAAATGTTCATGTACTGTCATCAACTAGCTCGGCTTTCAATCCTCTAGCGAATTTCTCCAACTACCTCCATGAATGATACTTAAACATTGCTGTTACTATAATTTCTGGGGGTAAGACATTCCTAAATAAATCTCAAATAACCTCTAATATCATCTGTAACCTTTTGCGTGTGTGTGTGATACTTCCTCGTGATACTGTGTAGATACTAACTCGTGCAAGCTGTACCAAAACAACTGAGTGCCTTCCAGATTACTTAAGAACCTTCCGATACAATTATGCACACGTGAACATTCGAGATTATTCTGGAATTTGCGCGGCCACCTGCAATAATGAAGGAATCTTCGATGGCCCACGTGTAAAGGCCCACGAGCTTTACATGCGCCATCATCGCTAAAGTAGGAATAAATACAGTGCCACAGCAAACATTGCCAAAGTGCCCACCACAAAGCCATTTATTTGCCAAATTTCAGAAATGGTTGGCACTCTCGCACAGCCGTCCAACGATACGTGATCTCCACATCAAGGAGCATTTCGAAACTACTGCGGTCTGCAGGATACTGGTATAGCAATCAAATGGACATTAGCGGCTGTCTGCGATAAATGGGTACCGCAATCTGCTACTTAGCGAAAACACACACAGCTTTTTTTAGAGACAGTACAATTGCAGAGAGGTGATGGTCTACTGGCTAGTTTCGTGCTGCGCTTGCGCGCACTTTGCTTCAGACCGCGCACAGATGCAGCGAGAAAACTATTGTTACGTTAACGTAATGATGCAAGCTTTCAGCAAGTGATGCTCTAGCGGTTTTGGCATTGGACTGAGGCACATTTAGGTTGCCACCTGATGAAAACATGCGGTGTAGTTAAAACAATGCTACGCTTGCCGTCTCAGTGCCCGCAATCCACAACACTCATCTCTGCAACAGCCGGCTCCTTTCGCTACTGCAAAGCGGTGCATGCTGAACATGGTCCCATATGGTAGCTATCAGTGCCCCTCAGCGCTCAGTTAGTTGCCAGCTAGTAAAACTGTGCATTAAGCTTAAAGCGGTGCTACGCCACAAATGATTTTTACTTCAATGTCATACTGGCGTGTTTTTCGGTGGTCGCCACATCGCTTTCTTTGCCAGTGGTTGAGAAATGGCACCGCCACAATCGCGCAAAAGTGGGAATAATTGACTGGCCGACTCGGTGCACTAACAGCTTCGAAACTTTATACGCTAATTCAGCAGCACAAGTGCACAAGATGGCGATCGTCATGTAATATCCGCTCATATGCGTGCTGTCAACATTTTTCGGTTCGCAAACCACCTTGCGGCAAAGCATTGGCGCAAATCAGACAAAAAAGACCCTTTCGGAGCAGTATGGCGCAGTAATTTCTAGTTGGCACAATTTTCGCACGTTTCCCACCACTGAAATGAAGCCTCTTTATAGAAGGGCCGTTAACCCCACAGCCGGCACATGCTATCCCCCTATCCCGGCTCGCGGAACGGGTTACTCTCCCTCGGCGAGGAAAGCAACCTTCATTGGGGAGGGGAGACCGGGAGGTTGGACAAAGCAAGCGTGCTGACAGCGAGACGCTCTCTCTTGCACCAGTGACCGGACAGGGACGACTGAACTCCGGAATCCCTGCGAGCCAAGGCGATCAACGAAAGGTGTAAGCCTACCCTCTGTTATCTTCATAGAGCGGACAGTCCCTCTACGCAACATTCACGCATTATTGCTAACGTAGCAATAAAGTTGTTTTGTTGACCTAGCCTGTTACTTTATTCGCTCGAACCCGACGTAGCTACGATGACTCTAAGCTATGGGAAGGGGAAGTTAATCGTGCAATGTACTACTGTGGGCAGCTGGAACATTAGCACCAGCCGTGCATAGGAAGACCACTTCAAACATTGTATCCTATACCAAAATTAGATTTTTTTGGTCATTTTGAGCTCTAATACAGGATAACAGCATGACACAAGAGCAGTTCTGAAATGTTTAGCAACTTCACAGTCTATAACCATGACATCACTAACCAAGAATGGCGTGCCCGTAGCAGGCAAGGAGTGACACCTCGTCAAGTCAAGTTTCCAAGAACACGAGACATGCATGCAAACAATTCAGTCAACATACATGTACACATTCTTTTTCTTGCATTCTCAAGTATTCCTGCATAATAAACTTCACATAAAATATACAGGAACATTCATATGGGCAGTAAGACTGCCGCGCGATATGACAGCCGTCTGAACATCTGCATAAGGAAATAAGTTGATCATGGGATCATGAATCCAAACGACACCGACAAACAGATACTAATCCAAGCTCGCGTACACAGGAAAAAAAATGCACTAAGGAAACGACTGCAAGCACTTCTAGTCGCATTCGTAAAATGCAGGCACATTCCCTTCACGCAGTTTTTGACTGATCCTCACATCTCTCTTGCACATGGAAAAGATGGCCCAATTTACACCCGTTATTGTTTTGAATCCCTTAACAACTCTTCAATGTCCATATGGTGAAAGTTGGCTCATCCCGTGGCTGTTGTGACCTTGATAGATTGACCCAGAAACACACATGCTAAGGCATCTGATGCACTAAGGTAGCCAGCATGTCCATTCACGGCACTACTGCCACAGTTGACTGCTCCCCTCCCCTTACAGTTGCCCCATACTTCTTATATTATGCAACCACAGACACACTACATATGGTGTAACTTTATCCACACATTTAACATAAAGATACACCTATAATATACGTACCTGTACTGAACACAAATATACATCTTTATGCCTTATTTGCTTGATCTAACGGGCACCTTTTTTCTGCTAAACGAGTCCCAAAATTTCCTGCGCATTGAAATCAAATGGGAAATCGAAACCACACTTGCACCATTGGAAAAATCTTCCCATCAGAGGTGTAAAATGCAATGTCATTGGCATAAGAGAATAGCAAAGGGTTACAATTTGCTAAGAGTTTGTGCCAATTTATTTTGAACACGCCTGTGTCGTGTCAAAGAAAATCCATCTTGCACACTAAAGATACCTATATCACACCTTTTTTGAGTGTCCAAGGCCTGCAAGTGTAAGTAGCGCGAAGGGAGATCCTTAGCTGCTTGTTCACAAAGAAAAGTTTCTATGGGTCAAAAAGAAAAAAAACATTCTGACCACGAACACTGACTCGTAGACTTCCTGTAGAAAGAACTTGTCAAGAAAATGGCCTTTTTATTTGCACGAGACTGAAGTGTATACTAAGCAAACTTAAAACCAGCAAAACTAGTAATAAAAGGAGTTGCAAAAAAGATAAATTTTCAGTTCTATAAAGGCAAATCATGCTTGTAGTTTTCTTGTAATTGTAAATTTTTATCTCACAATGAAATATCCAGTTGCTGTTTTTATTTTAAAACTGCAAAACTTGATATGCCATGGATGAAATATCGTATGTCATAATTTAAATTATAACCTCATTTGGCCATCACACAACAAACACAATGGGTGTAAATATGCTTCCCAGTGTCGAGTGATGAAGCCAGACAGACTAACGTTACCAACATGGGTAAATGTCCTCAACTAAAGGGGCTCACAGCTACACATAAAGTGAACTGTCAACCTATGTTCCCCTCTTTAAACAATAACTCATATCCATGCTCTCCGTCTGTGAAACATGCTCTCCGTCTGTGAAACAAAGAGGCTTTGAGCAGTAGACAAACCATACTGGATATTTCTACAGTCCTAAAAAACCACTTCAATTTTTGTTTTTTGCTAACAACAAAAATCACTGAGAAAACTCAGTTCATTACAAATGGAATGTTCCATCAGAAATTGTACACGCAATAGTTTTACTACAAATGCTTTTCTACATTAAATATGCAGATGGTAAACAAACATGCACCAAAGTTTCATGAATGTTCACTGTCATCCACTTGCGATGCAGCATATACACATTCGGTCAAGATTTCTTTGTGCAATGTTCATGTTTCAAGCCATGGTTGATGGGAGATTTTAACCTTTGTGAAAAACAATTAGGAAAAGGTCATGCTAGACCCTTCTGGAATTTGGTAACGGCCGAAAACTGATCTCGAAGTGAATAACAATCAAACTAATTTCTACTGCAAGCGTTCAATTTATTCTGATTAAATTTATTTTAGCCTTGAATATTAGTGACCCAATTTTTCAGCGCTTTATGGTACATAATAAATCTAGTGCTGTGCTCACATTGATGAAATTTTCTTTTTTTTTAAGAGAAACACACACATACACAAAATACTTTTGTGAGATAATGAATAACTTCCAATTTTAGAAAAAAAATTGTAGGCTGTCAAAAGCCAAGGTACGGGAACAAGCATGC